AAAGGTTACGTCTGTATTTCTTTTAAAACAAAGTTTGCTTATATTTAATCATTCTTTGAGTTATTTTCTAATTTCTTATCTTAAACAAAATATTGCCATTTCTTCAACAGATAAAAGGATACCTCAAATCATTGGAAACACAACTATCAAGGAGGGAGATGTCCTGAATCTGACCTGCAGTGTTGAAAGTTTCCCTCCATCTCTTATTATGTGGTCTAAATTAAGTTCCAAGGCAAACCATCATAACGACACTGGATCTGCTACACTAGTCATCCCAAATGCAACAGCAGAACATTCTGGACAGTACATCTGTACAGCAAAATACATGGACAGTGTCCTGAAGAAAGACACCAATGTAACCGTGATATGTAAGTACACAACATCGTGCAACATCGCGCAGAAAAAGTATTCTTGGCACAGTTTCCTCCATCGGACAACCGTGCATTGTCAACATTGTGCATTGTGCAGTCAAATTTGTAGACATTTTTAGATTGTTGGCCTTGACTGCTAGCACTAAAAAGCAAACAAAAAAATACATATTGAATAAAATGCAGACAATGTAAAATATACAATAAAATGAACATTCCTGACAAACAAAAAATTACAAATGTGCGTTTAAGAACCATTTGAATTTACTGATCACATTCTACAATAAACATTTTAAAAGCTGTTGGTATTTGTGGCACTTGACAGTAGGTATATAGTGTTACAAACAAAGATGGGCAGTAACACGTTAAAAGTAACACATTACTGTAAAGCTATTATTTTTTCAAGTAACGAGTAAAGTAAGGGATTAATATTCCAAAAAAAGCTGAATTGGTTTACTGTATCTCATGACAATGACGTGCGAGCGTGCAACGTCCATAGCAGCAACAGACGTGTGTAGATGAACAATGGATTATATGGAGGGTGGGAGAGAGTACGACCATGCAGCATTTAAAGCTCGGAAGTACTGAGATTACTTTGTTTAATTCCGTAAAAAGTGACAGAAACATTAGTGTCCACTGTACACTCAGCATGGGAAAAAAACTTTCTACAGTGAAAAATTAAACTTCAAATCTGAGCAAGCACCTAGCACCCTGCCACAGTGTAACGTTGAATTGTGTTCATTGGTTGAGAGGAGGCGGTAGAAACCTTAGCAGGATAGTAGGAAAAATACGCAATCACACTGGAACTGGGAATTCCACAGCATATCCTTTAATGCACCTTTTCTTCATCAACCATACAAGGCCCGGTTGAACGGCTGTTGCCTACGAAACATGACACACAGTGTTCATACAACCCATAACATTGCAAAAGTTCCTGAAGAGGTAAAATATATAAAGTCTGTCTCTTTCCATGCACTCGCGTGCAAACATGTTGTTCATGTCACTACCCGATCTGTACCACAAACCCGGTCAGTACCACACATGCGCAAATCTTACGTCACTTCCTCTCTTTGCCAACATTGCGACATTTAATATATTTGAATGACACGGTTAGCGCCCAGTTAGCTCCTAGCATTTCTCGACAGCTCTGCCTCTTTTTCGACTGCTCGGGATATTTAAACAATGGATACCTCCATATACAAATAAATTCATGCATTTCTCCTCAACGGAACAACAGCGCCATAAAATAAGAAGAATGGTGCCTAATTACAGACTTAATAATACAGACTTAGTTATGTGTCATGTGAAGATTCATCAGCCAGATTAAGTGTTTACTGACAAATGACAGTGATAGGGGACATCATCATCACTATTCCAACAATCCTCTCCACACAGACAAGCAGAAACACATTCGACTATCACTAAATCAAATTTAACACGCATACATGAACATGATTTGTAATGATGCAAGTTCAGTTTACAATAGGGCTCATTTGCTCGGTCAGCAAGTGACAGTATCCTCGTACATTGGGGCGTAAACTGCCATTAAACGAAACAGAAGAAGAAGAGAACATCTGCACATGCACGGTACGGATCGGGGAGCCCTGATCCGTAACTATCTTTTGATTTTTTGTTTTTGTCTACATTATATTGAAATGTTTCATTATTGCCGACATTCTCCCTTGTGGGACAATTAAAGGATTATTCTATTCTATTCTATTCTAACATTTTAAGAGATACGTATTATTGTTAACATCTTAACAGATACTCTGACCTGTAACTATCGTAAAATGCTTCGAGCGGAAATAGACACCTTTCGCACATGCGTGGTACTGATCGGGTTTCCGGTACGGATCGGGTAGTGACAGTTCACAGATAGGGCAGTGGCTCATACTAATGACATCATAAACCCCTGACTTAGGTTGCCTTAAAGA